GACAGACAGTCAGAGACAGAGACAGATAGACATATAGACAGACAGACAGACAGACAGAGACAGATAGACAAACAGACAGACAGACAGAGACAGAGACAGATAGACAAACAGACAGACAGACAGAGACAGACAGACAGAGACAGACAGACAGACAGAAACAGACAGACAGAGACAGAGACAGACAGAGACAGACAGACAGACAGACAGACAGAGACAGACAGACAGACAAGGTAAAATGTCACATGTTGAAATGACAAACTTGAAATTCTCTTTAAACCTTTTCCTGCCTCTGCGTGTAGGAATTTCTCTGAAACTATTCGAGCTGCAGGAGTGAACTGGTCTGGAAAACGTGGACAAGTAAAACACTAAAGTGTCTCATCTTTGCTCTGTCAGACGGATGCCCACACTCAATCATGTGATGTGTTTTTACAGAGATGTGCTGCTCAATGCCCTCCTTTTCAAAGAAGTCTCATTTTCTCTGCAGGCATCACTGTGGAGTCCGCTGGAGTCAGAAGGAATGTAAGAGAAAGCTGTTAATAGAAGCAGAACAAAAAGTATCAGCTTGTGATACTCATCCACCGCGTCTGACAGCATCTGCGGCCGTCATGCAGCAAAGTGACGTAAGCCGTCTGTAGCAGTTCATTTAAGTTCAGCTCATCTGACAAGTGATTAATGTCAGAATTAAGAAAATAATCTGTAATTACGCAGCAATTGAATGCATTCAATAAAACATGGAGCCAAAGCATTTATGAAATGACAAGTGAATTAAAGAACAGGACAGGTGGACACAGTAAACAGAGTGAGTTAGAGGCAGGGATGAATACGATGTTGGGGATGAGGAGAACATTATTCATATGAAACATGTTAAAAATAAACTCAGGAAGGTACTGTATTTATGGTGATTTGGCACCTGTGTTCTAAAACCCAGCCTTTCAAAATGCACTGGAAGCAAACACAACTGAGATTAATATCACCTTGGATGTTTGCTTTTGTGAGGCTGTTTTTATCCGTCATCTTTCTTTCCTTTATGTTTTAGACTGGCACAAGTCTTTGATGCAAAAATGAAGCAAAAACTGTTTTAACAAATATGCGCACTTCTTTTTTTAGACACAAAAAGGATCTTTTCAGGGAGCAATCAGGGAGCTGATTGTAGGAAATTGCAGGAAGAAAGCATGACTGTCGCATGAAGTGGCCGCCCCCTCTACTATGGTGACTCATTAGTACCCTAAACATTTCTGAACACCTGCAGGGGAACTAAACGTGACATCTAATTTGATCACTTTTAAAGAAGCACATATTCTTACATTTTACAAAAAACTATGTGGGTTTGGGAAATTTTCTCTAGTCTAAAGGATGTAGAAGCTGAAAATGTGCAAAACTGCTCTCATCCAAACTCCTTGCACGGTTCATCTGTTTTTGTCCAACGAGTAGGAGGAGGAGTGCTGACATTTGATATGCAAAGGCCTAGTAATCCCTCAAGTGCATCCCAGTGTGTGTATGTGTGTGTATATCAAAGCTTCTTGTTTTGCCTTGCAGCAAGTGCCTACAATGACTTTTAAGAGCAAACTGACTCACACTTTCGCTTATGGAAAATGTGATATTATAAAGGGCTGCACAAGTATTTTGAAATCACCTATTTCTTTATGATCCAAGGAGCAAAACTTTCTTGCAATATGTTAAAGTGATTTTCAGTAGTAGTTCATTAACTGTTCTGGACTTTGGATGCTTTTTTTGTCATTTTTAGGTCCCCTTTTTGCAACTTACACCATATTTTGTGCATGAAAACAAGACAAGTAAGCCAAAAAAAGTATCAAGCCTAAGAATTATCTACAAAAATCCAGCAAAGACCTGAAAAGGGATCTGAGTGTGTTTGTATAGATTCTCAGCCATCCAGGACATGACAATCCCAAGAGTTGCATTAAAAAAACAAAAAAAAACAAAAAAAAACAAGATACAAACTGATAAGTGCAGAGTTTGAGGCTCCAAAACTGCACTAGTTGCTATGTTTATGAGAACTGAACTCACACCCCTCCCTCATGAGGGTCAGTCGGTTCACTTGAGAAATTCAGTAGGGTGCAAATTGATGTGAAACTGAGAAAGCTTCCTGGTGAAATAGCAAAACAAGAACAAAAGGCCCCTGTTTTTAATTTTTAGGACTTTTTTGTTTTCAGCTAATACGTCTGCGAATCACCTTGTTGGTGCTACAAATATACTTTTTTGTCTTTCAAACCATGCATGTGCGATTTCTTTTAATTAAGTTTATAAAAGGCATAGATTGTGTCGTTATTGCAGGCCGCTAACAAAGCAATGATTCAACAGATTTCGTTCCCTAGTTTTTGTGCAAATAGAACGTGGATCTATCCCTTGAGCTTAGAAGCCTTTTATGTGTAAATGATTCATTAGTCAGTGGCTTGACAACACAACAGCATTTCTCTGAAATGATCAAGAAAAAAGCAGACAAAATCAAAAGAAAGCCTTTGAATAACCTACAAATTGGCCAAACAATAATTTGTTAAAAATACTTATAAGATCACGAGAACTTTTGATTCCTTGGAAGTAAATTACTAAGAAATGTAGGGATGTCTCAAGACTTCCACGGTGTAGTCACAAAGATCTCCTTTGTTGTTCATTCCAGGGCTAAGCCTTCCTGTATGAACAAGACTTCAGCAACATTTACAACAGAAATTTAGCAAAGCATTGAGCATTTCTTGTTCCACATTGTTGTGTCACATAAAACATCAGGTGCGCTCGCAATCTTGGAGTCCACAGTGATAACACAAGTGGGACAAAAAAAAGATTCCCATGAGACCTATAAGGCTCAGAAACAAACATTTGCTGACTAACTCCTGATGTGAGCTAAATGTATACGTGTGCACAGAATCTGAATGTGTGTATATATACTGTAAATAAAAACTTTCTTTCAGCTGCTTCCTTCTTCATGGGTCGCCTCAGCGAGGGAACTCACGTGAAATATATATACTGTATATATTCCATATGCTTGCTTTTTCCAAGTTATTGAATCCAGTGCATCAGTGCAACAAAGATGCAGCACTTCTATTCAAATATTATGATTAAAAGGAAAAAAAAAAAATTGGGATGCCAAAAAAACTCCCCATCAGCAGCACGATCTTTCCTGTCAGTAGGAAACATTTATTCTAGGGGCCATTATTGTGAAAGCACACAGAATCAGATCTGGAGGTGTCGTCATGAATAATTCCTGATTCTTCCTCTTGTAGGATGCTTCCTGTCCTGCTTCTGTCTGTGTGGGTGTGTTTATGCATGAGATATTCATTATTGAAAACCGAAGAGCGCTGATATTTTGAGTGAACGTCTAAAAAGGATGACTCAAAACATCATTACATAACCTAACAAAGTAAAGTCAGGTCCTCTGGACGGATTCTACTTTGTTCAGTTTTTCTACCTGGATTACGGAGCTTTGGGTCTGAATCCAACACTTGCAGAGAACAAAAGAGATGTTCGTCGGTGGAAGCCTACAAGTGGCCCAGCGGTTGTGGACTCCTCGTCACGTCACGAGTGGAGCGAAGAGAAGCGACGCCACGTCCGTTTGACGCAGGCTTCATTGAATTCCAGCTCTCATGAATGTGGTCAGCGGGTTGCTCGTTTCCATGGCGACAGCGAGTGGCTGTGAAAGGATGCTCAAGAATGATTGTAGTGACATTTCCCTGAAAAGCGGTGATGTAATCAGTGACACAGTTTGGCCGGAGCTGTCACTGTAACCGTCTGTGTGCGTCTTGGCTTCTGTCTTTGCTTTCCACATTTCTGAACCACCCACCCATCCAGCCTACATATCTGGCAATCCGTGCCATTGTTTGTATGAGAAATAATGGGCGCCTGTGTGCGTTTGTGGTACAAGGTCAGCTACATCTCATAGTCATATTCACTACCTTCCATTTATGACAGGAGGGCTCGACAACAGCTTTAAATTGCTTCCTTGTAAACATCTCTTCTTCATAATCATCATCATCCATTGCTCCTCAGTGCACCAATGTCTGGTCGTAACCTCAAAAGAAAATACTTGCTTCAGCTTCAATGAGTGCATAGATATGTTTAAGTTTTAAATAGATTGCCAGACAATATTGTTTAGTTTTTTTTAAGATGATATTCAGGGATAGTTAAAAAATAACTCTTCGTACTCATTCAATATCCGTTTTTATGAAAAGACTATTGGAAAACACAACAGCAGTAGATTTACACAAAGGAAATGAAAAAGAACAAATGCTCCAAATATTTTTTTTTTAGAAAAAACATGTTATTTATTAAATAAATAAATACTGCACTTTTATTACACAATAAGTTATTTAAGATTGTTTTGACCAAGGTGACAATGGCTCTTAAGAGGTCCTGAAAAGATCTCTAGCACATTTTTATGTCATTTCTCACATCTCTGCCTCTCAGCTCAACGTGCTGTCAATAAAGAACAAAAATCACAGTTTTAAAAGTTAAGCGTAATATTACATCTTCTCCCCTCAGACGAATGCAGGCTCACGACAAATGGACGTCCAAATCCTGCAGCATCCACTTGTTCATATATTACACTGTGAGGACGGCTGGGACACACACTGTACATTATTTACATTACAACTGAGCTCTGTTTGAGTCCAGTGTCAGTATGTGCTGTACATAACGAAGCTGGAGCCAGCCCAGCATAGTCTTTACCTGCCCATCATCTTTGTTTCAACCCCAGAATAAACATCTGGGCTCCTCTTTCATACCAACATACACCATCCTACAATCAACATACAAATCAGCCCTTTTTCCATCATCTATTGTGCTACATTTCAAACTCGGCTTCTTTCAGTCTCTCCGCCGTAGTTTCACCCGCACCAATGCCGAGTCACGAAGGTGCAAAGCTGCAGGAGCGGTAATTCGTTTCACCGAAGTCCAGCCTTGCAGTCTGTCCATCTTTCACAAGTTCGGTGCATCCTCGTTTCTCTGCAGCACCGAGGTAGTGCAGTAGATCTGCCAGTTTTTTTTTGTTGTTTTTTTTTCAAAATGCTGTTTCTGTTGAAGGTTTAGCTGCACCTCTGCAGGAGCATGTTGAGGGAGTAGACCATACGCTGACGCAAGTCAGTGGGGCAGCCGGATGTCAGCAGGGAGCTGAGCTGGAAGGTTTTGGACACGCGCTCCTCATTGATGTACGTCAGCACGTACTCATCTCTCTGGCAACACAGGATGATCTTGGTGTGGTCGTGGTAAAAGTTGACCTTTGGAAACAAAAAAAGAAAGAGGCTGTTATTGTTTTTATAATTGTGACCTTTTACTGCTCATCTTCTTATCTTTTGAAAAAAAGAGTCATGCTATGCACTGTAAAGAGATAGTTCAGACATTTAGAAGTGGGGGTCTGTGAAAGGTTATGAATAGTCATTAAGAAAAATGGCTTAAATCTGACTGGATCGAAGCACGAACAGCTAGTTCAAGTGAAGATAAACCAAAAGTGTATTACGGTCGTCTTAACTTTAATTTAACAAAATACACAGCGGTTTATTACTAAACTATTCTGACAAAAATAATCATAGAATTGAAGGTGTAATAACTATGTAATGTAAAATTTATAGAAAAGTTTTATGGACTAGCTGTTAGCCCATCAGTCCAGTCAGAAGTAAACCATTTCCTGAAAACAAAGCTAATTTAAAAAGCCATCCACAGCAAATCTATTGCAGACACGCACCTCAAACAATCTAAACTATCCCTTTACTGCTCCACTGAGCATGCCCAGCGACAGCTCTGTCTTCTGTGATGGAAGTTTACCTGGAAAGTGCCGTCGTTAAAGAGCATCATGAGGGCGCGGTCAGACTTGAGCCACTGCAGCAGGTAGAGCCTGGGCAAGTGTGCGTCTGTTACAGTACCGAGGTCTCCGCCCTGAAAAAACACACTGGGATCAGGCAGGCTGCAACTTGAACGTTTTTCATTCTTCAGGGAGTGGAAAGACAAACAAACCATAACACAAAAGGGATGTAGTTTAAAAAAATGGGGTAGGGAAACCAGAAATTTCACTTACATCCATGAGGTTTTCCTCCATATAGTGCGAAAAGTACTTGAGCACAGTCACTTGACCCACAAAGTGCTCAGGAACCTCACAGGTAGGAAAGACAGAGCGCTGGCCCAACTCTGCATAGTAATGAATGGTTCTGAAAAGGGGATCAAACCAACAAGGATCCATTAGAAAAAATAAATAAATAAATAAAACTATAGCCGACAAGCACAAATCAAAACAAAGAGCGGTTTGTGACATTTCCTGTCTGATTAAATTAAACCGACCCAGATTCTAATCAATGCGCTAACGGAGTGTAAACAAACTCGAACAAGTCGAATGTGATGACATCACCCTAACAGAGAGGTGTTGTGAAAGAGCAGAATAATGCATACTTTCTATCTGGCAGGAGGCTCATGTGGGTGCCGTTGTTGAAGAGGACTCCCACGGTGTGATCAGATAACTGGTAGCCGAAGCCATACTTGTTGGAGTAATCCACCCATTTAGTCACCCATTGGAGGTTGCAGCCATTTAGGGCCTGGGGAGTGTCATTTGCTGCACGGCGAGAGGACAAGGAGGTTAGGATACAATCACAGGGAGGATAAAGAAAACTGTGATGAACCCTTTAAAGAAGCTCATTGCATGTTTGCAGATTTCTATTGGTCTAACGGTCATTAATACATGCCTGTTGCTGTTAAAGGGCAGATAAATAGCTGCACTCACCTTTAGGCATATTCTCCAGGCAGCCCCTCAACATGCTAGCAACAGTTTCAGCCACGCTTCCTGTTGTGCTATCTTCCAGACCTTCAGGAACAACAGAGTATTTATGTAGTGCAGCACTAAAAATCACCTTTCAAGCAGATCTCTACTATTACTCATCAGTCACGTTTCTGTACTTACATTCACTGCTGCTGCTACAGCTGCCCAGGCTCCCCCTGACGATCAGACGTATGGTATCTTGCGTCGTCGCCGACTGACTCTCTGTTGCCAAGGCAACAGGGCACCCAGATGGCGGAAGCGGACTTCCATTCTAAAGTGGGAAGGAGTGACGACAGGGCTTAGAAGCTGCGAGTTTAGATCACTTCTTCCTGCTATGACTCAGCGGTCACCCACAGATTCAAAGTAGCTGGCTTAAAGGTTGAAAATAAGTGCTGTTGTTGGGAGTTTTGAAACTGTGCTCGTTAGAAAATAAACAAAGTTTTGCTCCCGAGTGATTCACTGGATTCTCCACAGCGGGGCAGCTCAAATCCTCGCAGGCCTAATTGCTTATGACTAATGCACCTGCAGTAAAACCCACACTCGGGCCGATGTGCCGTTTCGCTTTTTCTTACCTCAGATGTCTTTTTGCTCTGTTGACTGATGACGGTTTTCTCCAAGTCATGCTGCAGTTTGTAGATCTCCTCCTCCTTAGTTAACTTATCTGCGAGAAACAAAGTAGGATCGTTGTAATTCAAGTTTTAATGCCCGATTGGAGCAGATGCATGCAGCTGCCACCTTTGGACCAATATGCTGCGTGTTAAATGCTCCATACTCACTCAGAGTCTCGTAGTACTTGACCTTGTCCCTCCTCCCACCGAACAAAGCAGCAGCAGCTTTCTTGAAGAAGCTTTTCGCAGGACTGGAGACGTGGAAATCTGGCGCAGAATGGCAGCAGCTAGGCGGCAGACGCTCTGGACTAAAGCCCTGTGGAGAAGACGCCAAAAGTGGGTCAGTGTGGGAGGGAGGGGGGGGGGTCACAATCAAACTCCTACACAGTGACATTTGCAGACAGAGGGAAGTGGTGGCGTCCTAACCTGAGTGAAGAAGTCATGCCTCAGAATGTGGTCCAGGTTGGGTCGGTCTTCTGGAATCTTGGCCAGCAGGCTGGCAATGAGCTGCTTCGCCTGCAGGGACAGCGAGGACGGAAGGGAGTAGCGCGCCTCTCTGATGCACCTGTACGTCTCCTTCAGGTTAGTGGTTTCAAACGGGGGTCGACCCAACAGCATAGTGTACCTGCAGCAGAGTGAATGCACCGCTTTATCCTCACAAAATTCACTTTTTGTAGAAAAAAAAAAAAAAAGATAAGGGCAACATCTGCTGCCAAAATGCATGATGGGATATTATTCAATTGTAATTTATAATATCTTTATATATAAATATATATATATTTTTTAAATCAGCCTACTTACATTACGCAGCCCAGGGCCCAGACATCTGATTCACAGCCGTGACCCTGCTTGTTGAGCACCTCGGGGGACAGATAGTTAGGAGTCCCACATATCGTCTTCCTCCTGTTTCCCGCCGGCTCTAACTTGGCAGCCAGACCGAAGTCCCCGACCTTCAGCTCCATCGACTCGCTGACAAAAAAATTACCTTGAGGGGGAGGAACGTGAACAAGAAAAGGATGAGCACTTGATAGCCGACCAGAGATCCAAAGCTGAACATAGCACAGCTCAAACACAGAGGAATCGATTAAACGATGAAAGGAATGGATATACCACCATGCACATGCATCTTTAAAATGAAGCAGAAGTTAAAGTTGCCCACAGCTGAGCAAATGTTCCTTACCCAGTTTAAGATCTCTGTGAAGGATTTCCTGTTCGTGCAGGTACTTTAGTCCAGAGACAATCTGCCTCAGGTAATACCGCACCTCTGGCTCTGTGAGCACTTTGCGAGCCTTCAGGATGTGGGCTAACGACTGCAGAAATAAAACAGAGAAATAAAGATCTACTAGGGACGCTTTATGAAACCATATACCAATAAGTACTTCTGTAAATGTTATCATGCAATAAATCAAACAGTAAAAAAACTTTCTGAACAGGTTGACTTCAGATGCTATATAGGCATGTTTTTTTATTTTAAAGTCTGACACCAGATGTGGTCAGTGCACTCACTTTTCTACTGCAGTGCTCCAGCAGGATGTAGATGTTCTCCTTGTCCTCAAAGTAGTGATAAAAATGCACGATGTGTTTGTGGTGCAGGGCTCTGTGCAGCTCGATTTCTCTGTCAATCTGCACGAAAACCAAATATAAAATCAACACGACTGCGAGTCTCTGTGGTGCACGCTTTGCTCCGGGGCGCACGCGCGCGCGCGCTCTTACCTTCTCCCGTTGGTGAGGTTTGGAGACGCGCGCGTGAGGGATGATCTTAGCGGCGTAAACTTTCCCCGTGGAGAGGTCCGTCATCTCGTAGCATTTGGCAAAGCCTCCCTGGGAGGAGAATATAATAAAAGGGGGGTAAACAACACTCTTAGCCCTTCTTGTTGTGAGGTAAATCCACGGAGAAGTAAATAAATCAAATTGAAGGCTCTGCGCTACCTTTCCCAAAACTTTCCCGCGGCAGTAGCACTTGCCGGTGGCAGCGTCGGTGATTATCCGAGCCATTTCTGACGGCGCGCTGCGGTCTTCCGCTTTCTTCCGGCGGGGCTCGCAGGACCTCTGCGTGGCCTCAGACATACTGCTGCTGTTGGTCTGCTGGAGGACGCTGTTCTTACTTATTTCCATTAGGATGCTGGTTCTAGTCCCGCACTCTGAATGAAACCACTAGACCTGCTCTGTGAGGCTTTATACGCCCGAGCCCCTCCCCTCCTCTCCTCCTAAGTGCCGCCCTCTCTCTGACGTCACTCCATGAAACCGGAGCACGAGCTCTGCAACTTATCGATCAGCTCTCGTGTTCAGACTGATGACGACACTGAGATGAACGCTGGCATTTAATGAAGAGATTTTGACTCTGATTTGTGTTGATTTTCACACTGAAGAGCGGTTTGTTTTCTGTAGTATATATATTTTTTTACAAACCTGAGAAGCTTGAACATATATTTATGTAAAAGCGGCATTTCACAGCATGTCTGCTCCATTTGCTCCAATGGTTTTTGCACGTTTATCATGAGAAACATGGGCTTTATTCTGTGCAGGAATCCTTTTCTGCACCAAAGCCAGTTTGAAGCTCTAGCGCCCCCCGGTGGACATTTCTGACCCTGATCAGTTCAGTTGCGCCATGACTTTCATATCAGACACCAGCTATGTTGTATGGTCTGGAGACAGTGGCATAGAAGGAAAAAAAATAAAAAAAAAAAGACAGGAGAAAGAACTGGAAGTGGCAGAAATTATGTTGAAGTTCTTCTTAGGAGTGAAAAGGATGGATAAGCTTAGGAATGAGATCATCAGAGGGATAGCACAGGTTGAACAACTGGGAGATAAAAGTTAGAGAGGCCAGACTGAGACAGTTTGGACATGTCCAGAGGAGGGACAGTGGGTATGTTGGTAGAAGGATGTTAGAAATGCAGCTGCCAGGAAAAAAAAACAAAGAGGAGATATATGGATGCAGTTAGAGAGGATGTGGAGGACATAGAGAGATGGAGGATGGTAGCTCACTGTGGTGACCCCTGAAGAGGGAAAAGCCAAAAAAAGCTTACAGCAGAGGTAAAATCTACGCTTGCTTTCTTGTCTACCAGAGCCGTTCAGTTTTAGGTGCAAGAATGTTGGTTTGAGGGCCACATGCATCTTTTGTGAAAATACGCCTTCACCAAGGACAGCAAGCATTTCATCTCTCTTGGCTTTGAGCTACAAAACGAACAAAAAAAGTTGCTTTTGTTTGGTGGAGGTCCAATCTACTTGCAGGGCGCTGTCACAGACTTGGTGAAAAGACTTGTTGGAAAGGAGGCACGATTTGTTATGTAATGTCTTTTCACATTGTATTCTTCAGTCACAGTAACACTTGCTTTGACTGGTTGCTTTTCATTCCATTTGGTTTGGAAAATGTCAATTTTTTTAATCTACTTTCCATTTATTTGGCTTTGAGACATCGTGACTCCTGTAGTGAGCTTAACGGATGCACCTTGTATCGATGCCTTTTGCACATGTCAGATGGTCAGTTAGAAAACTGATTGTGAGTGCACAGCTTTACCCACCTCACCCCTCTTAATAAGACACTCGAGTATAGACAAAGCTCTGATATGAACTGCCCATTCTTAGGTTCGGGAACTGCAAGCGATAATGAAGTCCTCTTGATATCATAAGTATTCATTCTTTTTTATATTATTGTTTTTGTGCCAAATCAATTGTATTTGGGATGGTAAAATAATTAGGACCATTGAAAGTAAGTGGAAAATGTCAATCTTGTAAGGGTGTCAAAAGTGGGCGTGGCAAATTGGCTCAACAGTGCCTCCTATTTTTGCAGCAGGAAGGCCTACTTTCACTTATAGGTCTGATATTTGGTGCGCATGCACCTGAAAGCAAGTTCAAGTTTCTTTATTGTCATTTGCATCACATATGGTACATGAGGTGGAACGAAATTGTGTACTCAGGGTCCCAGTCACACCCAAAAATAGCAAAAATATAAAATATAAAAAGGAACGGATCTAAGATATATGCTAAACAAATGCTAAACGGTATGCTAAGATATCTAAGTAATAAACACAAATAATGTAAAATAATATGGTGTATTAAACAGCAGTCTGAACATGAGTCTATAGTGAGTAGATGGGTATGAATGAATTCAGCAGCATGAGATCAGCAGCATGGATAATCAGCAGCACAGATAAGTTGCATATCAGCAACTGAAGTGGCATTACAGTGATTTTCCTGATTAAAAGCTTCAGGTTAGAAGTTGTTCCTCAGTCTAGTGGTTCTACACTTAATGGTCCGCAACCTTCTGCCTAAGAGGAGCGGGACAAAAAGTGAGTGTGCTGGGTGAGTGGGGTCCTTCGTGATGCAGGTGGCCCTCTTCCTGCATCTGGAGGTGTAGATGTTCGTGATGGTGGGGAGGCTGACTCTAACAGTCTTCTGTGCAGCCTTCACCGCTCTCTGCAAAGCTTTTCTTTCTGCAGCTGTGCAGCCCCCGTGCCACACGCTGACGACAAACGTGGTCAAAGATGCATTTGGGAGCTTTATTATTGTCAAATTTGGACAAACTCCTCCTCTTGTAAAAATGGGCATTTAGGCTTCAAGCTCAGTCAGCAAAGCGTTGGAGATTAAAAGTTGTCAAAAGCTTGAGCGTTGTCACAGGTTGTAACCGCGACTAGACCTCCAACTTTGACATCTCGCCAAAGTTGAAGAGTGAAATAAAATGTATTGTTTTGCCTGCTAAATTAAAATCAGCTTTTCTTTTTTAAATTCTATTTTGATTTAATTGTTTTTAAATTGTTGTTTCAGTATGCTGCGATTTGTGCAAAAGCTTTTCTTAAACACATATTTTTTATATATTAATCAGGGATAAAAATCCTGACAAAGCATTATAAAGTCAACCATACAAAGCATGATATAATATAATTTGTACCTTTTTTTTAAAAGTATCTCTGTGAAAAAACAGATTTATGTAACAAAGCTATTTTCCTCCATTTAGTAGATTTTATTTGATTCAGCTACTGCTCCAACACAATCTTTTTCTCTGCAGAAGAAATAAAATATCTGCGCCGCGGTCACTGTGTTGTATGACCCAGGTATCAGCACACAGTTTAAATTATCTGCAACAAGACGAGTAACTTGTTCATGTCAGAACGCCTAATTCATGACAAAATATAAAGCGATGTGTTCACCCTTTTTACCTGGTGTATTTTTCAGGAAAAGCTTTTATTTCAGCACAATATGGACACAGAACAAAACTGCCTGCATGCAGTCCAGTCATGTCACTGAAAAGAAAACTGGGGTAACTGGTAAACACCCAAAAGCCCTTCTGTTAAATAAAGTTGGTAAAATCTTCCATTGTGTTGCGTTTCAATGGAATCAACTTAAAACGAGAGCATAAAATGAGCCAAAAATGCTTTAAAATGAAACACAAACATTGTTCATTGGACAACTGACAAATTTTATACGCATAATATTGTTTTCTTCAATAAAAAAAAAACGGTCAACATTTACAACAAAATATAATGTTTTAGATTTTCCTGGTAGCCATGAGCATATTAAATAAATAACCCCTTTGTGGAATAAAGTGCAAATTACTCCACCTCTTTATTTTTGCAACCTTGAACGGTCAGATAGTGCAAGTAATTAGTTTATCCACATCATAAGGACATACATTAGATAATGGCTGGTGAGAGCCTTTACAGACAGAACATCAGCTGTATGACACAGTCTGCTATTCAAGACTCTAAGTACCCTTTTAGTCTGACAGCGTTCGAAGAAATCTTTCAACAGGATCATTTTGTCTTTAAATGATACGATCATTAAACCATTTTCGTCCTTGACAAAAAGAGAACAGCGCAGTGAGGATAACCGCCCTGACAACACTTCGGACTTACTTTGCTGCCGTTCTCAGATGTGTGCGCACGCTGCTGATGTCATACGCAAAAGTCTGATCGAGTCCTGAGCCAACGCAGGACTTTTGGGGCCAGTCAGAGAAAGGGAATCGACAGGCGATGACGAGCGCTCCCTCGGGAAGCTCCTTTAAAAGCTTCTCTCCCAGCAACTCCATCTGCAAACCAGTTGCAAAGATGTACAGCGACAAATGTTTTGCTGCGAAAGAAGAAGATAATTCCCGAGACAAACACTTACCACTCCCGGAGCAAGAAACGCCGTCACATTGTTGTAGGAAGACAAATCAGTCTGTGGCGAAAGAGCGAGACAGTTGGGACTTTGTTCAAATCAAATGGGAGCACATTTTGTTCACGTTTTACCTTCCAGAAGTCCTTTTTAACAAATGTTGCCTGTCTGGAGGGGACTCCGTTCCAGCAGGCCTTGCTCCTGGCATATGCCACTAAAATGGAGTTGATCTCAAACCCTGTGCACTGAAACCCAGCAGTGGAGGCAGCAAACACCTGAAAATTATACAACACAACTAAACGTAACACAAATCCCGAACATGCTCAAATTTAATGCTCAGTCCCGTTTGTCGTTACACAATTTAATACTTAGATTGTCTCTAAAAGTGGTACCATATTTTCCGAACTATAAGTCGCTGTTTTTTTAATAGTTTGGCCAGTCCTGCGACGTATGGTCCGAAGAAACTTATATACGTTTTTTTTTTTTTTTTTGCCTATTCATGACACAATTTTTAATTGACACGTTAAATGTTCATTCATACTGATGTGAACCAAACCGAACATGAACTGCTCCGGCTGTGGAGGAACGCTGCAGAGCCCGTGGCTACTGATGTGAGCTCCACAGCACTCCCCCGCCTGCACCTCGCCACCTCCCGGGGCCGCGGACCATGAGCCTCACTGCACCCTTCCTCCCCGCTTCGGTGGCAGACGAATGGGGCACGGCTGCCGACCGGGACTGACTGTTCTCAGTGTGACGTGACTGCGCTGTGCCGCCCAGGCGATATGAAGCCGTTTTGACCATTAAAGTGCATTTATAAAGGAAAGGTTAAACTGAGAAACACCTTTGCTATAATGTCGAGCAAACAAATAACTGTTTTCAGGTGTTAATCTTGTTCAATTTTGAAGAACTGCAACAGCGAGTCTTCCCATATGCGCTCCCGCGGCCGCCAATCGATTTTTGGCACAACACCGGCCCACGTTTCCCGGGGGTCAGCAGTAGCTATGTTTAAATGCGCAAAACTCTTTGACCGGACTGACATGTTTTCAGATTAAATAATTCAAACGTATCATTTGCATGGGCACAATCCATTTATGACGAGCGTTTACATGCAGTGGGCTTTGTTCTGAACAGAAGTACTGACATGTGCAAAGTGGTAAACTCTCTTTAACAAAACCACCGAAGAAGAAGTTCTACTTCCGGTTTACTTCCGTGACGAACGTAAACAAAGCTGAGTGCCCAAAATGGACTCGCGACATGTTTTAATGATGGTGGAGACGTTCCTGCACTCCCTGACTGAGCTACAGGTGATGCAGATCATTTTGAGCTCTTTCAAAGTTTCTAGTAGATGACGTGTCGCTCACCGACCAGTTTGAGTTCCCCGACATGCTAATATTATTAGCATTAGCCAGGTGGAAATGACATAGGTCACACATGCGCAGTCAGGTCAGTTTTTCACGATCGGAAAAAAACAAACAGATTAAGCGTTTACATGGAAACCGTTGGGTTATGAATCGGCGTAAACCACCTGTTTCGTTCTGATGACAAATTCTTTCGGATCGCGCTGAATAAACAAAAAATAACCTGAACGGGGTGTTTACATGGCACATTTTTATTCTGAACGGCCATTTAATCGGATTACTTATATCCATGTAAACGTAGCAACTGACATCTAATAAATGCGACTTCTACACCGAAGCGACTTATATATGTTTTTTCCTCTTCGTTAGGCATTTTTTGACTGATGCGACTTTTACTCCGGAGTGACGTATAGTGCTCAACATACGGTACTTCTCACTCACCAGTCGTCCATCTCCAGATCCCAGATCTGCTAGGTGACCTCTTCGCCCTTGAAGCAGCTTCATGACGTTTTGCGTCTGATCTCTGCTGGAGGGCAAATATGGGACCTGAACCACAGAAGACACAGCAGGTAGACAGGAAGAACAGTAATTACTGTAAACACTGCCTTGCTGTTATAGCAATTTAAGCTCAAATAAGATATTAAAGCCATTGAATTAGTCTCATATAGAAATTAAGTTAGATAGAAAGTAACACACTGCAACCAAGTTTAATACAATATAAAACATGTTTCCCACTCCCAACTGCCTCACATCAATATATCTCATCATTCAACAGTTTTCTGCTTCGATTACAACCTTGAGTATCAACTCCCAGTCACCGTGAGCAGAACTGCTTCACAAAATCTCAATGACAAAATCCAAAAGACATGTAGCTGGTAAACTCACTTCAATCTGTCACCATGCTAGTCTACTTTTAATTGAGCATGCTTTATTTCATTATACAGCAGAACTGGCAACATACGTAAACAACAACACAATAAAATTAACAATCATGCAGTATGTTTTAGCAAAAGCAGTACTATTTTTTTAGCAGAATAAATCTCAGTGCACTGCAGATTAAAGTTCTCCGGTTGATGGTGCAGATCCTCATTAAAAAAAGGATATACCGGTATTTTGATTAAAGACTTACCACTTTCGTCTTTTCCTACAATTGTTGCTAGCACTACACAAATTAAATAAGCAAATTACTGTTAACGTGCAAGTCAAGTTGTGTTTTAGATGAATTTCTGTGATTTCAGTCATGCATTTAAGTTTGGAAAGGAGTAAAAGAAAGGCACAACAGGCAAAATAATCATAACAAAATATTTCTACAAGAAATGTGCTGTACCTTGAGGCTCCAGGGGATTTTGCGGAAGCCGGGCACAGTGAACATGCTCCACACTCCGTACAGGCCGGTGAGCAGAGCTGCTGTGCACGCCGACAGGACAGGATGGGGTCTGTTGGTGGGGAAGACCCCACAGTGCTCCTGTAGAATCATCTCAATCGAGTCCTCCATTACACAATGTGCATTTATGGCTGGATTAGGATTAAAAACACAAAGTGTTCTGCTTTTAATGAGACTGATTTGGTAGAGTAAGTTCATACAAGTTTTAAGTCACAAGGTCCTTTGGTAAACAAAGAGGAAGAATTGTTTGAAAGAAGGATTTTTTGGACAGCAATTGTTGTGTTCTTAATATCATGTTCAAGCACACTCGAGAACAGATAAAATACCTTAGTGAACATAATATTGGATGGAAAGAGTTTTTTTTTTTTATTAATTTGATTTAACTCGTGGGATAAAAATGAGGAAAGAGTCACATACATTAGTCATGCTCAGAAAAAACAACAATCAAAATAGGTGAGATTTTTTAAAAATTAGGATATGGTTCAATGGGGAATAAAAGCAAAGTAAAGCTTTTTGTGAAAAAACAAACAAACAATAAAATGACGTCCACAAAATAAAAAATAAAAAATAAAAAATCATTGTCAATAAAACACAAAGGTTCTGTTACACGGTGTGGCTGCTTTAATGCTTCTGGAAAAATACAGCAATTTTCAAAATCAGGGGAAAAAAAAGCACTTAGAAGATTGTAGGAGTATTTTTAAAGTCAAAGGTGCCACTTTGTGTTTTGAAGTCTCTGTTCTTTTCGCAGGACACAAAGCTGAAGCACACATTGGGCACCGAGTGGTTGAAAATGGGGAAAGAGCTTTTTTGTTGAGTTTTAACCTGAAAGCTTTTCAAGAACGGGACTGTCATTTCCCAAATTACATAAATAAATAACATAAAATAGGACTCGTAGCAAACACTCAAACGACAAATGAATAAAACGGGAATAACAGAATAACAGTGACAGATGACGAAGTGTCTTCAAAATGGACGTTTGTAGATATTCTTGTTGTCAAAAGTTCTGAGAACAGAGATGAACTAGAATCGGACTGATGTTTTGTTCATTTTATTAAAAAAATAAAGAACTTTTCTATCATAGAAATTCTATGATTCAGAACCACAGACACCAAGAAATTTGGCCACATCTGTTCAACGGCATTTGGCCAATTTGCTGGAAGCATTTATCAAATGGGCTCTGAAGAAATCTAAAATTTAAGTTTAATGGTAATTTTAAAGGGTATGACTTTTCTATTTAGTCAAAAATGACCTTATTTTGAATATATCAGTAGATCAAAAGATGTATAGTGTTTCTTCTGTTTAAAGTTGAATTATTTAAGCAAACTATGTAATCTTACTATTTACCTAAAATTATGGAAAAATAGGTCAAATTGACAAATGCTTGAAAAGTTACAAGCACATTTTTAAGGGGAGTAAAAAATAGTTAAATGTAAGAATTTCTTTGAAACGTCACTTTTTCTTTAAATTGTGATTCAGTTATTAGGTTTAGATCTGTTTGACAGAAAATATCGGTTATGTTACAGTATACCCAAATAAACTGAGTGCAAATTCCAACAGCAACTTCATTGATTAAATTTAAACAGTTTTTACAGACTGCACTCAAGAGATCTTGTCCTTCTCTACTTTAAAACTAAACCAATAAGGCACAACCCTAAACATAGAAGAGCTGCAGAATATCAAATTATCATTGAATTTATTCGGTAAAATTATTTATCTGATGCCAAACTACATTTTATTTGGAAACGTCAGTCAAACGGAGCACAAAGTAGCCCCCATGTGCTTGTTTACCAACAGCAGATGGAGCTACAGTGACCTTTTCTGTCATAAACACCTTCTACAAAACTTTAATATTGCAAGTATAACAGAGTACGTTGAGCAAATCCAGTAAAAAAAACAAAACAAAAAAAAAAACAAAAAAAAAAACCTCAACTCAGCTCATGTCTCATATCTGCATATAATTATTATTTTCATATGCACACAGGAGCACAACAAACCCGGATCATTTCCAAAGACAGAGCTTTAGTGTCATAAATCCCAACTCACTCGTTGCAGAAGAAACTGCAGAGATCTTACACACACGCGTGCAAGAGAAGAAACCAACACTCACTGAAACGAGCGTGGAAATGTTCGAAGAAACGACATAAAACAACAACGCTCACACTAGACGGGCCTACCTGACACGCCCCTCTCCTCTACTCTAATGCGCAGGCGCACTAGATGTCCGGGAATTAGCCCCGCCCTGCTGACACGCCCCTCTCCTCTACTCTACTGCGCAGGCGCACTAGATGTCCGGGAATTAGCCCCGCCCTGTCAGATGTCTGCATTCATGATACATCAGCTGACCTCATGTTGAGCGGTGGTTCTTCAATGAATTATTCTGTATAAATTGTTGTGAAACTAACAGATTTTCAGGCTATGAACTGCAACCATACATAAACAATTAAAACGATGAACAAATGAGAGCTTGATAGATATATGTATATGTACGTGACACTATATATATGTTGGACACCTGGCAGGGACCAATGTTGACATGTTTCTGTTTTTAGTTTTCTACATTTGTCTTGGAATCTAGCTGTTTTTTGTTTTGTTACCTTTTCCTTTTAGCCATCCTATTTGTTTAAAAAAAAAAACACACACAAAAAAAAAAACTGTAGTATGCTTTTTTATAACTGTTTTGTTGTTGCTGTTGTCCATTGTTGTCATCTTTCTTTGTTGAAATCAGGTCTCTCTTGTAAATGAGTCCTCGAGGCTTAATGGGATTTACCTGTATAAATAAAGGTTGATTGATT